CCCCAAAACCCCAAAACCCCAAAACCCCAAAACCCCAAAACCCCAAAACCCCACAGAGAGTTTAAAGCTTGAATTTTTATGCTTAAACTTGCTACTCCCCAGTGTACATCCAGAGAATCACCTTCAGATCCTGCAGGAAGCCTAGGAGGTCACTCTGACCGTACTTGTAGCCTCCGACTGCCTTATCAACAGCCGTATGAAGAGAAGGGAGAATCTCTTTTGGTGCCTCATAAATTTCGATTTTACGAAGATCTGACTGGTACGGGTCAGTGTTGATCGCACGAAAGAAGAGACGAGCTTGGATCGTTCATGAGGTGGCATAGTCAGGGATTTGGGAGACTTGAGGGTCATCTATTCAGAGTCATTATTTAGAGAAGAAAAAATTTCTCCAAAGAACACACTATCTTAAGTTTGGACTTATAAACTTCTTTATTAACCCCAAAAATTAATCTAAAAAATGCAACCAAGTATAAAATTCTATTTTTTTCCTAACAAATATCAAACTTGACTTCAGCTACTGCTAAACCTCACTTAGCCCCATCTGGTAGCTAACTTGGAAGCACCACTTACTAGCTGAGTTTGGCATCTGGGTATTATTCCCGTGATAAGTGTAATGCAGATCAATGTGAAACTTGGATTTAACTACTTCACTGACTTCGACAGTCATTTTATAAGCCCAGAGTTCTGTTTGAAGGCGAAAATACATTTGTTCAAGATTTGTTTTGAGATAGTCGTATTCGGTCTCGATTGGCTGTAGAGCTTGAAGATATATTGAGTTACTTAAATTTGAAAGGTTAACTGAAAGGTATTCTGAATGAAGAGAGATTAAAGAAGAAAGATGGTCAGACTCATCTTGAAGAGTTTTGATTAAATCTAACTTCTTATCTTGATTCTGAAGCTTTTGAATAATATTTATAGCCTCTATGTCATCATCTGACAAAGAGGGTATAGGAGGTAAATCAACATTCAAAGAGTCCATCATTTTCATCAAAGAATTATCATTAGTCTCCAAATCAGCCTCAAAATAAGTATCAATAGCTTTTTCTACATCTTTTTCAGTAAGCCCAGCATCAAAATCTCCAAAATCACCACCAGAGTCTCTCAAAATCCTATCTTTCATATCTCCTATCAGCATTGGAGATTCTTTATCGTCGCCATACATCGCTTCATAATTTTTCCTTTTTGCTTTCTCGACTGAACTGAGGTAAGCATTATCATCATGTTTCTTCTTGGCCTGAGGACCGCCAATCCCGTGCTGGGCATTCGCCTGAATTTGCTCAAGTAGATCACAGATGGTTTTGTCTCAGTCCTGAATCTCCCCATCAATCTGAGAAGTATGAGTGAGTTTGAATGGAGAAACTCTCTCTACAAGATCAGGAAGGAGATCTTCCTCTTCCCTAAGTCTCTTAAAATCTGTATGATCAATTATCTCAGACAACCCTACAGCGTTGCTGACTGGGTTCATAGATTTGTTACAGCTATTTTCAGATGATAATGGTGAAGCTTACCTCTGATCATTCATTTTGTCAGTTTCATAGCCTTCTTCAGAGCCGCTATCACTAATATCGATGGCGCCTTCGGCAAGATCGCGAGTGATCCTGGATCGCTTAAAGTGAAACTTGCCTTCTTCCTCCATTTTCTTTGAAAAATTTAGTTAAATAATTGTGCGCAATTTTTTAGAAAAACCAGGGGTTTTGGGGTTTTGGGGTTTTGGGGTTTTGGGG